CTTCCCACAGAAGGTAATCGTTGTCATGCCATGCTTTCCCACTGCCCCCAAATCTTCCTTGAACTGCATCCCCATGACATGATTTCTAGGCTTGTCCCTGTCCAGTTCCGCCTCCTCCAGAACTGCCCCTGAGAAACCGCATGACTGGAACTGAAGGTATGATGGCAGGGAAATATATGCAGACCCCTTGTAACTTTCATCTCCAAGATGCCAAGCAAATGGGGACATCTGTCCTGCTAAGTCATATCTTCCCCCTTCGACATCTATTTTGAAGAGAGCGGACGATGGGGAAAAGAAAGATCTCTCTTCTGCAAAGCCAGGTGGAAAAGTGGAAGGATTTTACAGGGGAAGGAGTTTCCTTGGAGATGACACATGCTGTGTTTGTGTTTAACCTGGGGCCTCGGGATGCTCTGAGAACAGCAAGGAGATACAGAAGCCTACTCTGGAGGCTCAGGCTTCTCCTTCCTCTTCAGCCTGACCACAGGTGGACCACTCCCTTAGCCTGACTGAACCCCCGACCACCTTCCTCAGTATCCAGTCACCCCATGGGAACCCCACATCTCCTGTAAAGCCACACTGGGAATGCCACTGGCCACCCATGGACCCCTCCTCTCCTCGGCTGGGCCATCTCTTTCTGGCCCCTTCCTCCACACCTCAGGAGCATCAGCCCTGGGCGTCAGGCAGTCCGGTGGTTCTGAAGTTTTCAGCTAACGGTCGTTGTCAGTCCCTTATGTGGTGCTGGGGAGAGGGTATGGAGGAATACTTCGGGTGCCCCTAATCTTATGGGGGAGGAGAACTTGTCTAATGTTCACCCTGTTCCCAGGGGATGAGAAAGAGATGGCTACTGGTCTCTGGACTCCACATCCTCTTGCTTCCTCTAGTTTTGACCCACAAAGCTCACCTTGCCCCCAGCTCCAGGCTGTATGTACAGGGTTGAGGGGAATTAAGGTGGATGTCGCCGGTCTGTTCTGCAGAAATCACACGAAATCACGACTTCCTGCGGGTCCTGCATTGAGAATACAGCCTCACCTCTGGTGGTCTTTAGAACTCAGGGCGGAGGCTCTGAAACCAAATCCAGAGAAACTGGTAACATTCCAGTGGCTTTCTTACTACGGACTTCAAATTTACTCCCAAGTGGCCTTCTCCACAGGTGGTGGGTCGAGGCTGGCCTGTAGGTGTTCTCCTCCCCGGTTCTTTCCCAGGCGGTGGAAACGGAGTTTTTTGGGGGGACGGGGGGGTGGTGAAACACTTTCTCTAGTTTAAGAAATGGTCTAGATAGAATTGTCACATGGCTTCCCCCCCATGGGATGGGCCACTGCAGCAAGAAATTAGAAGGGGGGAGGAGTTAAATGTGTGGGCTTCTGACACTACCGTGATCCCAGAATCTTCCCTCCCTGCCTTCCCCCTCTCCATTCTCTCCTTTTCTTCTCAGCCCACTGCCTCCCCAATGTATCTATAAATCGATATCTGTGTCACAGAAACCAGGTTTGACTGTTTTTTTTTGTCTTGAGACAATAGATTGAATGAGATTTGACATTTACTTCTGTGTCCTGCAGGACAACTTTTCCCAAAGCACGTTCAGGCTTAGCGTGTTGTGTGCTATTTGTCTTTATGCTGCAGAATCTTCATAGATTCTACATTGATTTTTTTTTTAAAGATTTTATTTATTTATTTGACAGAGACAGAGACAGCGAGAGCAGGAACACAAGCAGGGGGAGTGGGAGAGGGAGAAGCAGGCCTCCCGCCGAGCAGGGAGCCCGATGTGGGACTTGATCCCAGGACCCTGGGATCATGACCTGAGCCGAAGGCAGTCGCTTAACCAACTGAGCCACCCAGGCGCCCTACATTGATTTTTTTTTCCTGCCCAGGAAAAGGCATGTTTTATGGAGGGATATACTTACCATATGTGACTATATATAATTATGTGTGTGATTATCTGAATATGCATATATGTATATGTGTATAATCACGCATAAGTGTACAGCACAAAGAATTTCTGTGAACTGAACACAGCCCTGTAACCAGTGCTCCGATTAAGAACTTGAACATTACCAGCACCCAGAAGCCCTCCTCATACCATCTTTCCCACTATCCATCCCCACCAAGGGTAACTACCACTATTCTCATGTCCAATAGATTATTTTTGCTTGTTTTTGAAATTGATATTATTGGAATCTTACAGTATGTCCTCTTTATGTCTGGCTTCTTTCAGTCTGCATGTTTTTTTAGATCCATTCATATTATCACACATAGTTATAATTTTTTCCCCATTCTCGCTGCTAAATAATATTCCACTCTGTGCATATATCACTTTTTTTTCCTGTTCTGTTGATAGTATTTGGTTATTTTCCATTTTTTTTTATCAGCCTGATCATTTTAAAGCAGTGAATATCATATCCAAGGCTGGCATTTCTCCCCAGAAGGGTGAGCATCTTCCATCTTGCTTCCTCTGCCCTGGGCTGGCAGTCTTGCTAGATCTTGGAGGCCTGAGGGCGCTGATTCAGTGGTCAGGGCTGGGGGCTGGGGGGTGGATCTGGGCAATGGGCAACTTGGGCAGAGTTCTGTCTCTTGGCTTGCCTGCATTTCAGTACAGTGAAGGATCGCCATGCTCACATTGTCCAGCCAGAGGCGCTCAGGCTGGGTTTAGAGTCTCAGGCGATGCCATGGATGAATCCCAGAGGTGTGCAAATCTATAAAATTTAACAAGATTGTACTTTTATTTCAAGATAATCTAAAACAAATTAAATAGGCATATTCCGGGTCATCGGAATCCAGTTACTTCTGATGAGGCAGTTTAAGGAAGTGGTGAAGAGGATGTGTTCTGGGGCTATCCCTGTTCAAATTCCTCCCCCCGCCCCCCCCCCACCCCTAATCTCAGCTGTGTGACTCAGGACAGCACTCCTCATCCTCTGTGCCTGAGTGCCTTTAGCTGCAAAAGGACAGCAATCATCGTTCCTACTCTGGGGTCCCCGTGAGATCTGAATGAGATTATGCCCGCAAAGCACTTCGCCTAGTGCTCAGCGAACATTAGCGTGCAATCACCATTTGATTTGTGTGTATTATCTGGGCAGCCCCATCTCTGTCAATGGCTCATGAGAAAAACACAAAGGTGGATTTAACAGAGAGAAGTGATGTGTGAGAGCCAAGTGAAGGCCAAATGATATCATGGAGTGCCGAATAAATGACGTTTTCACAGTGGTTTAAATAAAGAAAAGCAGTGTGACAATTGAGTCATCACACCAGGCAGGCTGAGCTCAAAGGAGTGTGCCCGGGAGCGGTTGGTGCTGTGCTGTTGTTGGGAGCTGCAATTTATTTTTCTGCAAAAACCTCATCTATCCCATCAAATCAATGTTGTTAATATGATTTTTATTGGTTTTGTCATTTTATTTGCATTGAAGTTATAAATTTGTTTTGCCTTTATATGAAAGATGCAAGCATGAGCTTATATTTAGTTTGCACAAATTTAGGTAACTTTCTAAAAACAATTCAAGTCGACACTGTGTCTTAAAAGCCAGTGGTCAGTTTTAGAAACACTGCTCTGGGGGCTTTGCATTGGAATTCAGACGGAGGGAAATCCAAGGTATTTCCTTTTGACACAGAGCCCTAACTCACCATGAGTGCCGGAACTCTCCAGTTAGAGATGTGAGGAACTGGAGTCGAGATAGCAGCCAAGACATCAAGAGCAAAGAGGGCCAAGCCAGTAGCTCTTCACCACCACCGGAGTCTGCAGGCCAGCAGCTCCTCCAGGTTCACTACCCTCCAAAGCTCTGAGCATGCACTTGCTTTTGTGATCCAGGTGACCATTGTGTTACTGGCTACTGGTATCGCCTTCTAAGATTTCTACTTTTGCATTCAGGATCTTTGAGAGTTAAGGCTCTGTGGGATAAAGTGTTGCCTGGTACTTAGATAACCTAGATGTCATGGAGCAGAGTTCTCTCCAGGCCAGGATTCAAGAGGTCTGATTCTCGGCAGGCTCATCATTGAGGATCCGGCACTAGCAAGCTCCTACCTGGGACCAGCCTTCCAGTGAAGTCTGTGGGGCCAGGCCCCCCTCTTCTGGGGCCTGCGTGCCTTCACATGGCCTCGGGCCTCCCCAGCCTGCTTTGGCCACCTTGCCTTGGTTCTATCGTGCCTCAGCCAAAATGTTTAATTCTGCGAAAGTCTCAAGGAAGACTGTTCTGAGCCACTGGGAGGGCCTGCTGCTGGGTGCGACATGGAGGAGGCAGATAGGACTCCCATCCTCAGGGAGCCCCTGGCCTGGGGTGGGGAGAAGGGGCCAGCATGAGCATGTGCCCAGTGCCACAAGAGGGAGACAGTGTCCTGAGTACAGAAAAGAAGAGAGAATTTCATGTGGAGGGATCTAGGAGGGTGTTTTGGATGGAACCTTGAAGGATGGCAGGATTTGAGATGGAGCTGTAGGCCGAGGGCGCATCATGGTGCAGGAAATGCATTCTCTAGGTGAGGAGGCTCAAAAGGAGAATGGGGCCAAGCCACAGGCTGTCAGGCCTGGAGGGGGAGTTGGGCCTGGGCAGCGGTGAGGCTTCTGGGTTAGTTAGAGACTTCTTGTTTGCAACAGATGGGAACTGGACTTGAACTTAACTAGGCAAAAAGGGTGATTTATTTGGAGAACTGAGAACCCTTCCCAGCAGAGGAAGGACCCTTCAGGAACAGCTGACCGGCTATTCAGACACCATCAGGACCCATCTCTTGATCCTATTTCTCTCCATATCGGCTTCCCTTTTCGCTTTCACGGCTCAATTTCCTTATGTGGAGGAATCCTGGGGAAGGGACATACTGGCCGGGCTCGGGTCAGGTCCCCACCGTGGGATCCAGCAGCTAGGGTAACATGGTCACGGGGCTGCTCTGTTACCGTCTGCAGAAGGGAGGGATGCTGAGGAGGCACCCCAGAACTGTCCCCCGAGTTGCTGAGCAGAGGAATAAGACCTGCTCAGATCTGCATGTTGGGACGAGGAGGCATTAAAGAGGACGGGTTTTTTTTTCCCCTTTTATTCATAAAAACAAATTTGCAACAATTTATTAAAAATTGATACCATGCAATAGGGGTACGAGAAATTCCTCATTTACATTTGATTCTGGCAGTCCCGGTCTAATTTAAAGCATTTGTGCACTAACGTCACTGGAAAATGCCTTCAGGCTGAAGCCTCTTCGGAAATGTACGGTGTGTTTGCTGCGTATAAAAGAACCGTTAGATAGCTAGAGTCACTTCTGTGGGTCTTGTTATTTGCAGGGAAATTAAAAAAAAAAATGGGAAAACCTACAGTATCATTAAGACAGAAAATGTACTTCGTGGGTGAACCTAGAAGACTGAGCACGGTCAGGGGTCACAACGGGTTACGGACACACACACTCACCTCCGACTGTCTGATACTTTTTTGTTTCTGTTTCCTGCTATGCTGGAATAATATTTCTACAGGTATATTTGTGTGTGTGTGTGTGTGTGTGTGTGTGTGTATACATTATGTACAATGAATTGTCTCCTTCCCTTGGAAAAATTAAGTGGTCCTTTAAATTAAATCTGGTTTTGGTAAAATCAAGAAAGCAAGTCAATACTGGTAATACACAGTGAGTGACAACACCGATTTGTAGTGCCTAAAACCGACAATGACTTCAATTGGACCTGTGATGTGTTGACATTTTTTTTTTCCCCTAAAAGCTACAGTACCTCCATAACCTCTCTTGGGGGGAGGGGAGGGGGAAGCTATGCTACGTGAAACAGGGTGTTTTTGAAATGTTGGCGATGGTGGGATTCCTGTGGGCCCTTTTGTCAAAGTCTGGTGGTGACAGCAGTATATTCCTGACTTCAGTGGTCGGGGAAGAGATTATTGCCTGCCTGTTAAAGCTGCCATTAGGTTTCTTTAGGGAGTGAGCAACCGCTCAGTTGTGCAGACGTCCTGGACGCTGTCCTTCAGGCCTTTCTTTAGCAAAGAAGGAACCTGTCTAGGAATGTCACAAAAGTCGTTGGGAGCCTCTCTCCACCAGGTTATCTTGGTAGAGGGCTGTGCTGGGAGCTTCTCTGAGCCAAACCCCTGGTGGTCGTGAGGGCCGAAGGTCATGGTCATCCTGATTTCTCACGGGTCAGGGCTGCTTCATGGTTTGGTACGAAGCTTTCCCGGACAAGATCAAGTTTTGATCCTCAGAGCGACCCTGTGAGGTAGGCAGGACGGGGGTTATTTTCAACCCCAATTTGTTGGGGAGGGGAAACGGAGGCTCAGAGAGACACTAGTGATTTTCCCAAGGTCATGGAGGGAGTCAGCCATGGAGTGAGGACTTGAGCCCAGGTTCGTCTGACTCCCAGGCCAGTGCTCTCTGGGGTTCGGTTGAGAGGGAAGAGTGATCTTATGAATGAGAACCAGTGTGTTGACTGGTCACCCCTGTGACCCCCAAGGGCGAGCTCCCCAGCTTGTCCAGATGGAAGGCCACCTTCGGGAAGCCAAGGAGAGCCCTCGGCTAGCAACTCTCTCCCTACGACTACAGGGATGTCTTCTAGCAGAATGCCTGATTCACTTTGGTCAGAAACAAAGTCAGTGGGAAAAAAACCAACCCCAGCCAGCCCTTGGGCCCTGATGAGAGGTTAAAGTGCACAGTCTTTCTTTAGCGTGTTTGCTGGGAACAGACATTCCATGATTAGCTCGGGTGGTCCCCCTGATTACTGGAACACCTGATACAAACACAAGGACATGGCCAACGTGGTGGGTGCATGACCGACTGTCGGTGAATGCTGCAGAGCGGGTCTGCAGTGACGTGCCCTAAATCCCCACGGTCCCGGAACGGGTGTTATTGTGTTAATGTGTGGCATTTATCAGAGAGTAAGGTCCCACCGGGAGGCATGGGAGTCAGCCTGCTCCCGTAGCCCAGCCCTCGGGCCACCTGGCTGCCCTGCAGACTCCCTGTTCCAGGAAGGCTGGGGGTGGCTGCACTGGCGGCTGGGAGCCTGGCTGCCCTGCCCACCTCCTTCCCCAGAGGGCAGAGGGGCTGGCCTGGGGGGGGAGGAGGGGCACAGCCAGGGATGTGTGTGCAGAGGCAGAGGCGGTTTCTCCAGAAGCCCCTCGCCTCTTCTCAAGGCTGCTCAGGGACACTCGGTGACTTCTAGCTGGAGTTCTAGTGATTCTCTCCTTGTCTAGGATTTGTTTTGTTTTTTGCAAAGTTTCAAATATCCCAGCTCCTCCTCCTTTGCAGACATCGTGGAAGAAGTCATTTCCATTCCTCTTCTTTGTGAAAGAATAAAAACTTCACAAATAAGGCGCGAGGTCAGGTGCCAAGTGCCCCCATCCTGTCCACGTGAGTGCCACCGAGCAGCCCCACAAGGCCAGCCGTGGCGCCCAGCGGCTCCGCAGCCAGAGCTGACAGTGTTCCCGTGGCCTCTGCTCCGTGAGGTTCGGTCATGGGGGAGGCCCCGGCCCCAGGCCTCCCACCCCTACAGGCCAGAGACCATAACTCGGAAGGAGGGTGGCACGTGTCTGTGGCGGGGGCTGGCGGTGGGGCTGACGCAGGGGCTGACGCAGCTGGCATCCACGCCTCCGATGGACGGCAGGTAGGCGTGGTGGAGGATGGGGAGCTGGAGGGACAGCCGGCGCTGGATGCTGTAGCATGGAGAGAGAGAGAGGGAGGGAGGGAGGGGGTGAGAGGAGTTTTAGTGAAGGCTACCTGGCTGCTCACCAGAATGTTCCTGGGACTCGCTTTGGCTAAGAAGCTGATGGTGGGAGAATGGGTATCCCGAATCCAAGCTCTGTCCATCCGATCATCTAACCATTCACCCACCTAGCAGGTGTTTAATGCGGGCCTACCCCTGCCAATGACTGCCCTGGGAATAACCAGGGAGATGGACTAAGCAAAGGGGACGCAGTCTTCCTGAGTGAGAGTGTGGCCATTCCTAAGCACAGGTTTTGCTCATCTCATGGGGCTTTGCTGCTGACACAGTTCTCACTCTACTCTCGAGAGCCTCCAAATGGACTGAGAGGCTTCTCGCTGCTCTGGCCTTCCTCATTGGCCCTTCTGCCCCTGCCTTGCCCAGGACCTCAGCCCTTCTTGCTGGGCTGATTCCAGTAGAAACTCCTTCCTGGTCTTTCAGCTTCTTTGGTGACTAGTGTTATCTTTCCACCTCTGGGGCAGTACATGCAGGGCTGCCTACGATCTTTTGCCTAATTCTCCAGGTGAAACTTCTACCCACTCTCCACCCAAAACCTACCCTCAGGCGGCTAGTTTCCCCTAAATCACTGCTTAGCAGGGCCAACTCTTCCTTGCCTTTGCACCTGCTCTTCCCCCAGCCTGGAATACTCTCTCTACCTCCTACCTGTCTCCCCTTCACTATCCAGTTTAAACTCCTCAGAGAGGGCTCCGTCGTCCTCTGAGCTCCCAGAGTTCTGGGTAAATTCCAGAAGCACAGCCAGAAAAGCCTGAGGCAGGACGGAGGCAGGAGTGGTGTGTGACTCCTGGCAGTGTGTGTGTGTTGGGGGGGCTGTGCTCTGCCCAGCTGCATCTTGTGTGGTTCTCTCTTGTACCCGGGAAGCTGCAGTCTCGGTATCCTTAGGCCTCCTGTGTCCTCAGTGCCTGACCGGTCAGGTGAGGACCTTCCCCCCACCCCCAGATCTTCACAAAAACCCAGTAGGTAAAAGAAGTATTGCTAGTCCCACTATAATGACTAGGGAAGGGTACAGAGTTTAAGTAACTTGCTAATGGAAACAAAGCCAGAACTGGGGAAGGTGCGTCTCCTGCTTCTTCTGGGGAACCACAGTGCTTTGTGAGGAGGGCAAATCAACTCACAGGGGTCACCTCATCCCAACAGGTGTGCCCCTGGTGTGTATGCATGGCACTGAAGGATCCCAAGATGGATGGGGACAGACGCAATGCTGTCCCCCTCCCCCAAAGGACCTGTGCCTTGGAGAGTTTCTACCAAGGACACCTCACAGGTGCTCATGAGGTTAGCGTGTTGGAGCTCTTCTTTTGAAATTCAGGTTGAACCTGTGTGTGTAACCTGAGCTACGATTGACTCCTTAATGCAAGAGGGTGCTGGCCAAGAGTCCAGGTAAAGGGAGGCTGGAGAATAAACTCTAACCTGGGAAGGCCTATGGGCCTGGGCCAGGTGGACATCTGTCTGTGGCTCTCAGAGCCGTGGCATTTTCCTGTCTGGTAGTGGGGTCCTGTTTACACTGTCATTCATTTAATAGACGTTTGCCAAAAACCTATCAGTGCCGGAGCCTGCATTCAGTCCAAGGGACACGGGAGGGGCTCACCCCTTATCCTCAAGGTGCTTACACTCTAGCGGAGGGTACTAATAAGCAAAGCACTGACAACTGCCATATAACCATAATAATTATTCTGGAGTGTAAGCCAATGAAGCCTTAGAGCTAACTGGGGTGAGAAGCTATTGGCTCTAACACTAAATGGCCCCAAATTACACTATAGTTGGTGATTTGGCTGTCTTTGCTGCTTGTCGCTTTCCAGGGAGCAAGTTTCAGTGTTGACATTTCTTTTCTTTTCTTTTTTAAGATTTCAGAGAGCGAGAGGGGCAGAGGCAAAGGGAGAGAGAGAATCCCAAGGCAGGGCTTGATCCCACGACCCTGAGATCATGACCTGAGCCGAAATCAAGAGTTGGACGCTTAACCGACGGAACCACCAGTGTTGACATTTCTGACCTCTGCTTCCAAGCTGCCATAAGCAAGGAAGATCTAACAGTTGCCAGTGGGAACACAGCTAACAGAGCTTAGATGTCACCTTCTCACTGAATCGCTGCTGATCGCTCTATTTAAGGTTACAATCCCTCACCCCTTGCCCTGCTTTATTTTTCTCCGAAGCACCTATGATGTAATACACTAGATTTTGCTTTTTTTAATGAAGTTCTTGTGTCACCGGATAGAATATAAGCTCTGTGAAGGGATTTTTGTCTGTTTTTTTTCACTTCCTTGTCTGACACACAGTAGGTGTCAGTGAATAGTTGTGGAGTGGTTAAATTTTATATATAATGAAGGCACTGTGCCTCAGTGGGCTTGATGGTGGACAGACCTGGGTTCAAATCCTATCTCCTGCACTTAGAAACTGGGGGAGCACTGACAAGTCACCTGCCCTTTCTGAATATTCGTTTTCTCATCTGTAAAATGAGCCTTGTAATTTGACCTGTATCATGGGGTTGCAGTGGGGTTCAAATAAAATAATGCACGCAAAAACGCGGTGCAGATCGAAATTGCTGTGCAGGAGTAACACGCTCTTCCGCAATAATTCTCAAGGAGAAAGTACTTACTGTTCTGGGGAGTTTATATCTTCTATAGGATCTTTGCATGTTCGAGAGGGCTCTGTTGTGTTCCACTGTAGCTGGGGATTTTGATCGAGGTGGTTTTTTAAAATGGCCTTTCCCCCATCTGAATGCAAAATAACAAGATCACAACACATTCTGTTAACTTCATTAAAAAAAAAAAAATGCAGTCTTTCTAGGATGCTGCCCAAGGAGAGAGAATGCAAAAGAGCCTATTATCCCATCACGTGTCCTCCTTAATACCCTTAAGGAGGGCACGTACTGCATGGAGCACTGGGTGTCATACGAAAACAATGGATTGTAGATCACCACATCAAAAACTAATGATGTATTGTATGGTGAGTAACATAATAAAATTAAAAAAAAAAAATTTAGGGGAGAAAAAAAAGAGCCTATTATCCCTCCAGAGCTGTGGTTTTTGTAGTACCTCTCTCGGGCCGAAGGCAGTGAACCCAAAAGCTTCCACCCAAGGATGGAAATGGCATCCTGGGGATTCCCTTTCTCCAAGAAAAAAAGGGGGGCGAAAATCAAGTCAACCAATGTAAGTCACATAACTTGGAAATGAAAAGTTCTAACATAAAGGCCTGTTTCACGGGTGCTCAGGAATGTAATGACAAAGGAAATAACCCTCCAAGGTAAAAAATAAGACTGCCAAAGACAGAAAAGAGTAATAATAGTCAGTAAACTGCTGGTGGGAGTATAAATTGGCATAATCTTTCTGGGGGGTCACTGTCAATAGGCATCAAACCCTAAAAAAAAAGTGCTTATCTTCTACCCAGAATTTTTACTTCTGGGAGTTATCCTAAGGAAATAATGAAGGGTGTGTGTGAAATTATACACAAGATGTTCAAATCAGCATTGTTTATAATATAAAAAAGTTGGGACTAGTCTGAATTTTTCCAGTAATAATAGATTAGTTACATACTCATGTATGTATGGGGGCTCCATTCAAAGAAATACTGTGTAGCCACAAAATGCGATGATGTGGATGCTTTTTCAACCCTCTAAGTTTCAGAACCATCTAAGGAGACTTAAAGAAATATTAAATATAAAAACCTGGCCCCCACCTGAGGGATCTGCAGGAGCATTGCTGTTTAGTTGTTTTTCTGCAGTGGGTAACTTTGTGAATGTCATTTTGCCCCCATGTGAGTACAGTGGATCCTCTTTATTCATGGGTTCTGTATTTGTGAACTTGCCTACTCACTAAAATTTATTTGTAACCCCAAATCAATACTGCTAATGCTTTCAAGGTCATTTGCTGACACACACAGTGTTGAAAAATTAACATTGACCTCATGGTCAACAACAGCACTATAACGCATGCCTGAATGAAGCCCATCTAACCCGTGTATTTTTTTTTTTTTAAAGATTTTATTTATTTATTTGACGAGAGAGACACAGCGAAAGAGGGAACACAAGCAGGGCGAGTGGGAGAGGGAGAAGCAGGCTTCCCGCCGAGCAGGGAGCCCGCTGCGGGGCTCGATCCCAGGACCCTGGGATCACGACCTGAGCCGAAGGCAGACGCTTAACGACTGAGCCGCTCAGGTGCCCCTAACCCGTGTATTTTCTCTGTCGGGCACATCACAGCCTTCTTGCACTTAGGCATGCGTTATAGTGCTGTTGACCATGAGGTCAATGTTAATGAATCAACACTATATATTAAATAAGACGTCTGCAAGCAGAAACACACATACAACAAAGTTATGTATTGACTGACCAAAATGTGAACCCGAGAGAGCCTCGCAGGAACCAAACCCTGTATTCCCCCCAGGAGCAGTGGTTCGGTAGTCACTAATTAATTCATGATTCACAGCAACTTTATCAAACACAATCACCATGAATAATGAGAGCTGACTGCATATTCTTAGGATAAATTCCAAAAGTGGACCTGCTGGGTCAGAACAATTTCTATTTCAACCAGCAAAGTTTGAGAATGCCTATTCCCCCAACTGTGTCCTCAAATTCTCTGTAACTTTCTGATCTGTCTTTGCCAGTCTCATTGGTGAAAATGGTATCTCACTAAAGATTTCATCTGCATTTTTAAAAAAGTTTTTATTTATTTATTTGAGAGAGAGAGAGAAAGAATGAGTGGTGGGGAGGGGGAGGGTCAGCGGGAGAGGGAAGGTGAGAGGGAGAAGCAGGCTCCCCGCTTAGCAGGGAGCCCACCTGAGGCTCAATTCCAGGGACCCTGAGGTCATGACCTGAGCTGAGGGCAGAGGCTTAGCTTAACCAACTGAGCCATCCAGGTGCCCTTCATCTACATTCTTTTAATAAAGAGTGAGCTTGAGCATCTTTTCATAAACATAGGAACCTCTTGCACTTCCTTCTGTGAGAACTCTCCTTTGCCCATTTTTCTTCTGTGTTGTTGGTTTTTTTTTTAATTAATTTGCATATAATTATATATGTCATAGAAATTATATAAAATTTCTCCTTATACCTAAGAAAATAAGCTCATTACCTGAGTTACAATATTTTTTGGCTTGGTTTGTTGGATTTTTTGACTACTTATGATGGGTTTGTATTGTTAAAAAAATTTTTTATAGTTAAATTTATCAACCTTTTCTTTTGTGGTTTCTGTGTTTTGCATCAAGCTGAGAGAGGCTTTCCTCTCTCTGGATTATATATATATATAAAAAATTCTCCTGTGCTTTCTGTGCTTTCTTTTAGTTCTTTCATGGTTTCACTTTCTACATTTAAATCTTTTATCCATCTGGACTTTATTTTTGTGTAAGGTGTGACATAGGGATTTAACTTTATTCTTTTCCAGATGGCTATGCACTTATCCCCATTAAATGTATTGAATAATTCATTTCCCTCCACTAATTTGAAATGTCCATCTTTACCAGATACTTATATTACTGTGAATAGTTTTTATTCTTTCAGTTTGTTACTTATCTCAATTCAAACTTTTTGCAATCAACTTATATAGTAAGAATTTTATAATTTGCTTTTATAATAATACTTATGACTTCTATAAGAAACTATAAAAAAACCTAAAGATTTTTCATTGATTTAAAAAATAATTTTATAGCAAATTAATGAACAAATGCTGACAAAATGCAAACAGAGAAGTATATTAAATGTCAAAGGAATCCTTTCTCACTTTGCAGTGTTCCTTTTCACACAGGTGGATACTGTTAACAATTTGGTGTTTGTTTTTCCAAACCTTTAAAAAAATGCACTTAATACACGCACAGACGTGTGCATGTGTGTGTGCATTTATGTATATCATAATGCTAGCCTTCATCTTGTTATTTTCACTTGGAGAGCTCTCCATATTTGCACAGATAGATCCATCCCATTTTTTTTTTAAAGATTTTATATATTTATTTGACAGAGAGATAGAGAGCACAAGTAGGCAGAGAGGCAGGCAGAGGGAGAGGGAGAAGCAGACTCACCACTGAGCAGGGAGCCCGACGTGGGGCTTGATCCCAGGACCCTAGGATCATGACCTGAGCTGAAGGCAGCCGCTTAACCGACTGAGCCACCCAGGCGCCCCAGATCCATCCCATTTTCTAATAGCTGTATTATGTGCCTTATTTGATTGTGTCATAATGAATGAAACTGCCCTACACGATGAACATTAATTCCAGTTTTTCTCCCCTACAATAACATGGTGATGAGCACCACATGTATACATCTTCGCCCACGTGGGAGTATTTCCCAGGGGCAAGATCTTGCTAATGGAGTTGTTAATTAAGAGGTTTAACATCTAGGGGCGCCTGGGTGGCTCAGATGGTTAGGCCTTTGGCTTGGGTCGTGATCTTGGGGTCCTGGGGTCGAGCCCCGCATCGGGCTCCCTGCTCAGCGGAGAGTCTGCTTCTCCCTCTCCCTCTGCTTGTGCTCTGTCTCTCTCAAAATGAATAAATAAAATCTTTAAAAAAAAAAAGAGGTTTAACATCTAACATATGGATGTGCCCGACTGACTTCCAGAACATTGCAGGAGAATGCCTATTTCTACACACTCTTAACAACACCGGTGATCTTTGAAAATTTTGCTGAAATGTAGGCAAAAACCAGATTGTGTTATTTTGGCTTGCATTTCCCAAGTGGTTGGTGAGATAGAGTGTCATGTCATAGCTTACTGACCATTCTGTTCCCATACATCGAGAAGGCACATCTGAAACCGTGAAATGTCACTGGGAGAAGTAAGGTAAACTCTTCACTAAGAACACTGTACCCCCAATCAGAACCCCGGGAATGCTGGCCAGGTCATGTACGTGCGCCACTGGAACCCAAGAGACCGAGGGACAGAAGCCCCGGCTCTAGGCAGGGTAGGACCCCAAACGGGGCCCGAACTGTGGATGCCAGGTGCTCCAGCTCTGCCTGTGTGGCTTCAGGTCAGCCCCACCCCCTCTCTGAGCCTCAGTTCCTTCCTCAGTAAAGTGGAAGATGGCCAGCTGCTGTCTGATACCCAGGTCCCCACGTTCCAGGGACCCCGCCTCCTCCTACCTGTGCTCTCAGTGAAGTTCCCAAGGTTGAGGATGTCGTTGAGTTCTTGGTAGTGGTTCTGTTTAATGTAGGTGGTCTTTTCTGGTGTATCCTGCAGCTGCATAGTGACCTCTTCCAAGTCTTTATCCAGCTAGAAGGCAAAGGCTCCAGCTGAGTTAGAGCCCCGGGGCCCAGCCCCTTCAGCCCAGCTCACAGGGTCACGGGACTGGGCCATGGGAGGGCGCCCAGAGCCAGAGAGGCTGCTGCCTGCTGGGGAAGAGCTGCGGAGGGCCCCTGCTGGCTGTTGTGCAGGAGGGGCCGGGAGGGGAGGGGCCTGGGCGCTCTAGTGATGTGTTCAGGGCAGGCTGGCGCCTTGGTGGAGCAGCTGGGTGAGCCCGGGCAGGCAGGGCGGGAGAGTGCCAGGGCGCAAGCTCTGAAGTTGGACAGGCCTTGGGGCAAACCCAGGCTGCCCCTTACTGTCTGTGCACTGGCTTGTGAGACTGAGTCTCAACGCCTTCATCTGTACAATGTGGTAACAGTAACTACCTTTGTGGTTACTGTGGAGATTAAACGAGGCAATGCACTGAAAGTTTAGCCCAATCCTTGACACATCGTAAGAGTAACCCGCCACTACAGTGAAAGTACTATAATTATTGTTACTGATACCTAGCAGCACTCTTGCAGGGGAGGACAGATCTGTGGGCCAGTCAGCTGTGAGCCTCACATGGACACCGAAGCTTAGCACAGGAGGGGCTCCTCTAGAGGATGGACTGCAGCTGCCTTCAGTTATAGAAAAGTCAGGTGCAGGCCCTGGGGCAGTTTAGCCCTTGAGAAGCCTGGTGCGTGTGTGTGTGCTCGTGTGTGTGCGTGCATGTGTGTGTTGGGGAGGGGTGGTAACTGGGAAAAGCAGTGGACATTCTACTATAGCATAAGGGAGAGGAAGTTATAAACTATAAAGTGTTGTTCTGATGTCAAGAGCACAGCCATTAATTTTTAAATGCATTTTCACGTGGAGGAGGAGAGAGAGACCTTTTCTGTGTGACTCAAACAGCAGGACTAGGACAAAGGAGGCCAGATTGTGATTCGAGTCCAGGTAAAACCACCCAGCATTTTATGGATTTTGACAATGGCTTCGGTTTCAGGTTTCCTGAAGTGAGTGAACCCTTTATTGCTGGAGTGTGCAAGTAGAAGTCAAATGTCAAGTCATGGTCGTTCTAGTCAGAGAAAGGTCTGAGATTAAAACGGAAATCAGCAATGGGCTTTGAGGGACAGAAACCTTTTATACTTTGCTCTGGTGACCAGTGGGGGGCTATCCCATCCTAAAGCAATCAGGTTTAGGTGCACAGACAATTGTGTAGTGGATCTTTGTGACAGACTAATGTGAGTTCCCCAAAAGGCTACTGGAATCTAGCAAATACAAATATGGAATGCCCAGTCCCATCTGAATTTCAGATAACGATGAATCTTTTTTTTTTTTTAGTGCAAGTAGATCCCAAGTACTGTATGGGCCATCCTCATACTAAAAGTATGCTTGATTGCCTGAAATTCAAATTTCCCTGGGGCACCCTGTATCTCACTTCCTCCTCCCGGTTCAACAGTAGAGAGCACATTTCCTAGCCTACCTTGTGTCTAAGTGTGATCATGCGAGTTCTTGCCAAGGTGACTGCAGCAGACCCAAAAGGCGCACAATTTTTGTACCACTTGCTCATCCCTTGTGTGGACTACTTCTTCCCCTCCTATGACTGAGAACAGGACATGCCTTCCCCCTCCCAGCTTTAACCGTCCTGGTGAGGAGTGCAGCTTGGGGAGTGGCAGAGAGCAAGAGTGAATGAGCCTCATCCAGTCATGGCCATGGAGGCAAAGCTGCTGGCCAGTCAGGACCCATCTCCTCAGGACCATTAGGTGAGAGAGAAATATTTTCTCTGGGTCACTTCATTTTGGGGTGCCTTTGTTACAGCAACTTAGCAAGTTATCCTGACTAACATGCTCTTCGTTGTGTCTTCCCCATTCCACTCGTCGAATGAGGGTTTCTCTGGGAAACATGCAGCCTGCAGATCATGGGCCAGTCACACCTCTGGACCCAAAGACAGAGGGGAAGAAGGGGAAGGTAATTTGGTCCCCCATTCCAGGTATAGAAAGTCCAGAATTGGAGGTCTGGCTTAGAGAAAGCTAGTTATGGCCTCTCTGGAATGCTGAAGAACCAGTTAAGGACCCTCAAGACAACAGTGAGGTCTCAGCAAACTTTCTTCCCTGAAAGTTTCTCTTTACTCCCTCCTGTCTTGCTGTACATCACATGGATGAGGGTGGTTTTTGGGTTGGGAGAGTGAAAAATCAAGGGCGGGGGGTCCCCGCACACTTAGGAAGCTCCTATAATCTGGGAGCTCACAAATCTTCAGGAACTTTCTTTCTGAGGATGTCTGGAATCGGGGCATGTCTGGCCTCCACGAGCCTGGGCCAGGTGAGTGGATTCCGATGAACTGCCTCTGTCTGGTTTATGGCCCCGCTTGTTCTCTCGGCTGTGACCCCAGCACATGGGACTGCACAGCCTGATGCAGGGGGTGTCCCGGGGTGGGGGGTCCAGGTTGGGAGTGGCAGCCCTGAGAAGTCTTGCCCTGAGGCAGACGGATGCAACTGGGAGGCTGGGGCCCTGGCTGCTGGTACTGGGGGAGCTACCTCGGTGATCTTCATTCGAAGGCGATGGTTTTCAGACTGCAGGCCCTCCAGGCGGGATGTGCTTGCTTGGTTCACGCTGGTGACTGAGGTGGACGTTTTAGAATCTTCCTTCTTCTGATTCTGAGTGAACTGGAATCGCCTGTTCTGGGTTGCTGCATCTGGGTTTGTTCTCAGAGTGATGAGCTGAAAGGACAAGGTATGGCTGAAAAGAGAAGCGCGGGGTCCTCCCCCTACAATCTCCCATCTACTCCGCCACAGCAGGTTCTATGCTGGAGGCAACACGGACCCAGGCTGGGAGCCCGGAGCCCTGGGCTCAGGCTTGTCTCTGCCACTGACCTTGGGCAGGCCCCTCCCCCCCCATGCTGAGTCTCAGTTTCCTTCTTCGTCAGCAGAAGTCTGGTCTCCTGATCCTGACTCCACCTGTATCCCAACCACCCCTCGGAGCCCACCAGCGCCTCTCGGGCCTGATTCCAGCTGAGCCTCACTCTGCCTTGGGCCTCATTCCACATGGAAAATAACCCCGAGGTGACACTGGAAGACAATGGATGGAGGCAAGGGAAGGCTTCTGCTTCTTAGAACCATTGGTGAGTGTTGAGGAGACTTGTGACTAGCTCGGTCATGGACAAAAGCATTGCTGTAGAAGAGAAAAGGCTGCTACTTGATCCTCATCTCACTCAATTATTCAAGAAACACTTCTGGTCTGAGGCAGGCTCTGGGCCTGGACTGGAGAGCAGGGACTGGGTGAGGCAGGGCCCCTGTCCTCCAGGACCCCACGGTCCAGAGCCCAGAAGTACTGAGGGCAGGCTGGGCTGTGGGTGCTGTGGGCCTGGGCTGGGCTCTGTGGAGGGCCCGAAGGATGGTGAGGGAAGGGAATTCTAGGGGGGAAGAAGGGGCATGTGGAAAGCAAGGGGGCCTGGAGCTCAGGGCACTTAGGGAGAAGGGCAGTCTGGATGGTGGGCAGGGTTCTTTGGGGAGACTGGAGGAGACTCAAGGGTCCTAAAAGGCAGCCTGGTATCGGGGACTTGATTCTGGAGCCAGGAGGGCAATGAGGAGCTCTTGAGGGTGACAGAGAAGAGTGACAGGGTCAGGGCTGGGCTTGGAGGCATCCGGCATCTTTGACCAGAGTGAGAGAATGTCAGAGTGCAGGCAGAGAGGTCTTGGCATTGGCCTGGAGCCTGGGCACGCGCTGACAAGCAGAGAAGGCAGGCATATAGGGTAACAGTGCTCCAGGGAAGTCACCGCTTGGCGACTCACTGCATGGAGGTGCCATGGGCCGTCTGTTTAGGGCACAGTGGACCCCGACTGATCTCTCGTCCCCCCGTACTCCAAGGCACACCCTACCCCACTTGGGCCAATAATTCCTCCCACCCTCTCTATTTCCCGTTCTTCTCTGATGCTGAGACCAGCCTACTTCGGGGGCTCCCAAGATACCCAGGCCTCTGGTTCACCTGCCCGCTGCTGGGAAGGATAAGGTTTGAAAAACACCCTCTTGGGCTGGTCTTGAAGGTCAGGGCTTCAGATGAATGGCTGTTAAAAGTGGTTATTTATTCCTTTTTACCCACTAATGCTACTTCTGAGGCTCCATCTGAAGGGTATAGCCAGAAATGGGGATCATGTGTTATGTAGAGAAAATAAGTTCATTTATAATATAAAAAATCTGGAAACAACTGTAATGCTCATCAGTAAGGGAATTGAGTGGACAAGAAAACATGGAACATCCCCCGTCAGTGGTGGTTATGACTGAGAAACACAAAGGAGAAATTCACAGTGGAAGAGGCAAACTACAAAACGATATGTGGGTTTAATCACAGCTGTAACTGAGAAGGCACCACTGCCTAACCATTTAAAAAAGACCGCGGGGTGGGGGGTGCCTGGGTGGCTCAGTCCTGATTTTGGCTCAGGTCATGATCTCAGGGTCCTGGGATCGAGCCCTGCATTGGGGCTCTGCACTCAGTGGAGAGTCTGCTTGTCCCTCTCCCTCTGCTCCTTCCCCTACTCTCTCTCTCTCAAATAAATAAATAAAATCTTAAAAAAAAAGACTGGAAGTAAACACATCAAAAATACATAGTTTCGTAAAAAACTAAAAACGTTACCAGTGATTGTTTTTGGGTGGTGAGACCCTGAGATTTCTGGAAAATTTGATTTTTACGTGTTTGCATTTTCTAAACTTTCCATGATGTGAACTGTAATCATCCCAAGCAGAGAAAGCATAAAATGGCTAGAAAGCGGAGGAAACCAGCAGTCCCCTGTGCAGGGCCGGAGGCCAGAGGGCAGGATGCAGGGGGTGGGCCGTACCTTGGGCACGAACACCAGGCAGAGGGTGATGGTGCTGCAGAAGATGATGACCAGGGCAACGATGCAGAACTGCACGTTGGGCTGGTCCCGGGTCAGGAAGGAGACGGCGGCCCCGATGATGCACATGATCCCCACATTGTAGACACTCATCCCAATGTACTTGCTGTCATTGAGGGCAGGGATGCTGACGTTGCGCGTCTCCCAAGCCAGGAAACAACCGAACAACTGAAATGATGAGCAGAAGGGGGAGGTGGACATTATCACGGGGTGGCACACATCTGCTGCTCTGAGAAGGGGGGCTGGGGGCTTTGCTGTGGGCCAGGTCTTCTGGATGTCACCCTCGGTCTCCACTGGTGGCCCTGGGGGGAGTCCTGCTGAGGAAATGCACACTGGGGGTGTTATGGCGTCTGTTCTCCTCTGTCCCACAACCGGTTCACGTACAGCAGGCCATGGTGGGAAGGGCAGACATGATCTGGACCACCTCCCCTCACTCTAGAGAGAGCATGGAGGCCCAGAGAGGAGGAAGGGGCTTGTCCAAGGCCACACCGTCATACAGTGGCAAAAGTGGATTGTGTTTCCAGAACTTCAGTCCAGTGTTTTTTACTACTAAATAAGGCAGAGCCCCTGTGTCTGGGACTTCTATTTCCTCTCAATGCACAAAGTCACTCAGAATAGAGACTACATATCCTAACTGTCCTTGAATCTAGGTGTGGTATATGAGTAGGTTCAGGACAGTGCCAGGTAGGTGGAAGTGGTGTGTACAAGTTCTGGAAAGTATCTATAAAGGGAAACGGTGTTCCTTTCCCTCCTTCCTAGTAGAAGGAGTGGAGTGTGACGGGTGGAGCTTGAGCAGCCATCTTAAACCAAAAAGTCATCTGAGTCTACAATGTGGGAGCTGTACGGTGAAGACGGGGGGGGCCACAAGATCCAAGGAGCTGAGATTCTGGGAGCCCCCACCAGCCCTAGATTGCTCATCTGAGAAGGAAGTTAACTATCTCTTTAACCATTACTATTTTGGGTTTTCTGTCACTTGTAGCTCTACTCCTAACTGATACATCTCCCAGCAGAAATGGACAAGGTAGAGGTCCAATGTGATCTGAAGCAGGGTGTGGAGGGTTTAGCCTTCATGGGTGGTCTAAGGGGAGGGCAGGTTGCGGAGGAAGTACAGATGGAATGCCAGGCAGAATGGTGGTGTGGGTGGGTGGGTGGGGGAGGAGCTGACCAGGACCACTGACCGTGCAGGGCCATCGGCTGCAGTCCAGCCCTTCTAGGACGTCTTTCCTCAAAGGCCCCTCTTCCTTCCGACCTCACCACTGCAGCTCAGGGCATCCAAAGCTGCATGATCCATTTAATAGCACACTGAGGGCTTCTGTTTTCAGGTTTGACTTAGTAGGGTAGCACGATGCCCTGTGCTAGAAGGGTGGCTGGCACAAGGCTGGAGGATCTGGAATCTTTGGGCAAGTCACTTCGCCTCTCAGGGCCTCAGTTTCATTGTCTGTGGAATAGGGATAATAATAACACCATCTCACAGGGTTTGTATCCAGATGAAATGGGAGGATGGCTCTGAAAGCATTTTGTAAACCGAAGTGCCCGGTATAAGAGTTGGCTAAAAGTTATTTTGTTAAATGGTATTATATATACAACCATGGTTGCTTTCCTCTCCTTTTCTCTAAGCGTATTATCTCACAGACAGATTTATTATTATTATTATTTAAAAAAATTTTTAAAGTTTTTAAGTGATCTCTACACCCAATGTGGGGTCCAAACCTACAACCCCAAGATCAAGAGTCACACGCTCCACTGACAGAGCCAGCCAGGCGCCCTAGACTAATGTATTTTTTAAAGATGTCTTTTAAAATGGGGAGCCAGAAGCCCAGGAAGCAGATACCTAGGAGAGAAAGAGTCCAGCGGGTGTTGAAAGCCTGCTTTGTGCTGGTTTCTTCATGTGTGTTCCCTTCAGTCCCACAGTGGGGGCTGTGCCAGCCGGGCCTGGCCGTCCATGTCTTCCAGGGGAAGTGGCAGAGGCTGGCCCTGCCGAGGGTCCCACACCAAACCATCACGAGAGTCTCTACCCATCATAAAATGTGGGCAAGTCTGGGGACCTGGTGGTTGGCTGCCAATCTCTGAAGCGTGTCAGGAGGAAACAGACAGCAACTTGTTCTTAGGCCTTCAAGGAGTAGAATGAGGGTTCATGGGCACAAGGTACATCAAGGCAGATTTTAGTTGAGGATAAGGAAGAACCTTCTAGAAAAGCAACCCAACTATAGTGGGTTGAACGGTGGCCCTAAAGATATGTCCATATCCGAATCCACGGGGACTGCATATTTGGAGAAAGGGTCTTTGCAGACATAACTAAGGGTCCTGAGATGAGATCAGCCTGGATTATCCAGGTGGGCCCTAATTCAAAGGACAAGTGTCCTTACAAGAGACCCACAGAGGAGAGACGTGGAGAGGAGAAATGGCCATGTGAAGACGGAGCTGGAGATTGCCTGGAGCCATCAGCCGCCGTGCAGAGGCAAGAGGGCATTCTCCCTAGAGCCTTTGAAGGGGGCACAGCTCAGCCTTGGTTTTCGACTCCTGGCCTCCAGAACTGTGAGAGAATAAAAGTGTGTTGTTTCAAGCCCGTCTGTGCATACCAGTTTGTGGAGATTTGTTCCTGCAGCCACAGACACTGATACACCATCCACGGGTGCCACAGGCCACTCTGAGGCGGGGGGGCTCCCCATCTCTGGAGGTATGGCAGCGGTGAGTGACGGAATGCTTGTCGGGGATGCCCAGCGGGGGCTGGAAGTGCTGAAACTCTGACAGGGGAGTGGGCCGACAGGGCTGGGCATACTCTCTCCAGCCTTGAAATTCTGTGGTTTCAGAGCGGCAGGCACCAGGAGCTAGAGTTTTAGTCCACAAACCCTAAGAGCCAGGAGGGCGGAGGACAATTCCTTGCGCACACTGGAAACAGTAAGGCACTTGTGCTGCCAAATTCAGCTTTTGCTGCCCCATCGGGCTGGAGGTTCTAGCTTCACTGGAAGAGATGTGGTCACCTCCAACCACTTTTGCAAGTAAGTGCCGAAGATAACGGAGGGTCAAACATTACAGATGAACGCAGCTTAAATAGTCAATTGGATTCCCCATAATCTAATTTCACAGTCTCAGATCAGGGAGCGTGGAGCGGGAGGGGTCCTGGGGAGTCTGGTTTCACGCTCTTTATTCAGCAAGGGCTGGGGGCCTCGAGTCACGGGTACTGCTTGCTTCCCGCGAAGGGAGCGCCACCACGTGGGCGGCCACTGTTCTGTTGTACAAAATCCTTCTCTAATGTGGACTTCAAAGCTGCCCTCTGACGACGGATCTGCCTTCGGGTCTATGCCACCTGTCTCTGACAGCTCCGGTGACCATGTCTCCTGAGTGCCCTTCTCCAAGCCCAGGGCCACTGGCCAGGCCTCAGAGTCCCATTTCCACTCTGGGTACCTCCTGTGGACACCTTCAGGGTCATCACCTTGTGGGGCCCAGAGTGCAGCCCACTGGTCCTCATAGAATCCCTAGGGAAACTAGTCTCAACTAGTATAAAGTGGGGGACAATCTCTGCCTAGGGTCCCCTAACACATGCCCTTCTGGTGTGGCCCCTCAGAAACAGTTCTCCGAAGCAGCAGAAGGTGAGGATGCATTTGGGCAGTACAAGAAATCCCTCTTTATCTGACCTTTGGAGAAGGCTTCATTCTTGGCCTCTAAGTGGAGGCCACACAGAAGCGAATGGCGGCTCAGCTTGCCTGCGGAAAGACCTGAGGGGGGAATGGGGGCTGGTTTCCTGTCCCTGGAGGGATTTCAGTGGAGGCACGGTTTGCATAGGATTGGAGAGAAGATTCAGGGGTCAACATGGGATCAGATGGGGTGTGGCTGCCCTTTCAAGTCCTTCCAGACGTGTGGGGCAGGCTTGGTATGTGATCTTTGATTCTAACAGATGGGAGGAGTGGAAAGAGTACTGGGTTCGGAGGTTGGAGGTTACGAGTGCCCTTTAACCTTTCTGAGCCTGACTTCTGTAAGACGAGGATGATTCCAGTCACCTCCCACAGATTTTGAGAGAACGCAGTAAGATGGGGGATGTGAACGTGCGCTGGATGTTGACAGGCTGCCGTTCTGGGAGCGCTACGGTGGCTGCCCTGAGGTACACTCACAGGTTTTGGGGTTACTCTGTGGTTAAGCTCTTGAATCTGCCTCTCACTACTGAGTGACCTCGGGCAAACCAAGCCTCAGCATCCTCATCAGTGAAATGGGGCATTATCTGCACCCATCTCAGAGGGTTGTTGTGGGAATCGAGAGAACACGTGGCAGACACGGGGCCTGGCAGTTAGTAAGTGCTTCGTCCTGGGGGCTCTGTTATTTTTATGTTCACAGAGGCCCCTGGGAGAGAGAGCGCTGACAGAGAAGCGGCCCCCCAACCTCTGCCTTCTTCTCCACACCTACCATGAGAAGCCCCTTGTAGGCATAGACGATGCCAAGCCAGATGGTCATGTGGGTGTTCTCACAGTGCTCCAGGAGTGGGCGGATAGAGATGTCTCGTCCTGCTGGGTCCGGCTGTGCAAAGAGAAAACAGAAACCCAGGGATGGCACTGGGCACCTTTTCAGCAGCCAGGGCCCCATCTGATGGCCACTTGCCCTCCCGTGAGCTACAGCCAGTCCCTTGTCCAGGAGGCCTTTTGGACCCCTCTTCTATGTTCCCACGAGGCTGCTTTCTCTTTGTCAGTCATGATTCAGCCCTGCACTCTAGTTATCTGTGTTCTTCATGCCTTTCAAACATGAGTCAGATCTCCTGAGGGTGGAGAGTGGGTCACTTCCTGTGCTTCTAGTACTTAGCATGAGACCTGGTCCAGAGCATGCATCTGTAATGTTTGTTGAAAGAATGAAGGTGAGAATAAGGCACAAGTTATGTCAAGAGGCCTTCAGGTGTCTCTGGGATTAACTCCAATAACTGCTGGCTGAGCCAGCCTCGGGGCCTGCCGAGCTCTTCTAAGGAGACCTTCTTGCCCATCACCCCCAGTGAGGGAACAATGGGGGCAGCCATGTGTTATTCCACATGACCTATCCTGGGCCAAAGTTGATTGGATAGAGGGTGGGTACTTGACCCACAGTAGCCAATCCAGAGTCTGGTCAGAGACTTACGAGGTTTTCTAGTGTGGTGTTCTGCTCAAAGAGGGATGGTGGAGAGGACCCTACCCAAACATGGTCTCTCTCAGGAATTTGAGCTGGGAAACTCTGGGCAAGAATCAGCCACATGGTGGAAAGAGGAGAAAAACACACCCAGAGAATGAAAAAAAAAAAAAAAAGTATATTCTACATATGTTTTTTCTGAACCATTTAAGAGTAAGTTGCAGACATCCTGACCTTTCACTCCTAAATATCTAGCAAGTATTTCTTAAGAATGAGGAGATTCTCGGGGCGCCTGGGTGGCTCAGTTGGTTAAGCGACTGCCTTCGGCTCAGGTCATGATCCTGGAGTCCCGGGATCGAGTCCCGCATCGGGCTCTCTGCTCGGCAGGGAGTCTGCTTCTCCCTCTGACCTTCCTCCTTCTCATGCTCTCTGTCTCTCATTCTCTCTCTCTCAAATAAATAAATAAAAGAAAAAGAAAAAAAAAAAGAAGAATGAGGAGATTCTCTTATATAACCACATATACTTACCAAATGGAGGACATTTAACTGATACAGTATCTAATATGCTATCAATTTTCAAATTTTGCCAATTGACTCAATAATGTCCTTTAAGACAATTGTGGTTTTTCCAAAGCAGGGTCCAATCTGGGACAATGTCCTGCATTTACTTGTCACGTCTTTAGTCTCCTTTAATCTTCGACAGTTCCTCAGCCTACTTCAGTCTTCTATGTCATGTATATTTCTGAAGAATCTGGTTCAGTTATTTGGTAGAATGTCCTTCAGTTTGGGTTTGTCTGATGTGTTTTCATGATTAGATTGGGGTTATGCATTCATGGTGGGACTCCTATGTAAAGTGATGTTTTTGCTTCCTTGGAGCTTCATCTCAGTGGCACTTGATGGCACTCTGTCCCATTACTGGAGATGTTAACTGTGATCATTTGGTTCAGTGATGTCTGCCAGATCTCACCACTTCAAAGGTACCATTTCCCCCTTGTAACTAATAAATACTCTGTGGGAGATACTTTGAGACTGTGTGAGTGTCCCGTTTCCCCACAAATGTCAACTCAGTGGTTTCAGCATCCAGTGATGGTTTCTACCTGAGTCACATTCCTTTGGTGGCTGAAAAATGGTGATTTTTTTTTTTTTAGAGTTTATTTATTTATTCATGAGAGACAGAGAGAGAGAGAGAGAGAAGCAGAGGGAGAAGCAGGCTCCCAAGGAGCAGGGAGCCCGATGCGGGACTCGATCCCAGGACCCTGGGATCATGACCTGAGCCGAAGGCAGACGCTCAACCGTCTGAGCCACCCAGGTGCCCAGGTGATTTTTCTTTTTAACTCTATCATTTCATTTAAATACTTGGCACACCACTGTAAACAGATCTTTCTTTTCCTCCCATTTATTTATGTATATCAGTATGCATTTAGGGCTTCCTTTTTCATTTCCATTACTATCATTCATTTTGATGCTCAAATTTTCCCAGATTTGGTCAGTCGGAAACTCCCATGTGCAGTCTCATGTGTTTTTCCAATACATCCTCACACTTTTTGGGAGCACTTTCCTATGTCTTGGCACAAAAAGTACTTCTACTTCTTTGTGCTTTCCTTTTTCCAGCCTCAGATTCAGCCATTTCTCTGAGGAGTCTTGGTTCTTTTTGGTGGAGAATGATATTTAGAAACCAAGATCTGGGCTCTAGATGTGCGGTATCATTACTTCTAGGCCCTTCCTTCCTCCCTTCCTTCCTTATCTATCTATCTATCTATCTATCTATCTATCTATCTATCTATCTATCTATCTATCTGTCTGTCTGTCTGTCTGTCTGTCTGTCTGTCTGTCTGTCTATCTATCTATCTATCTATCTATCTATCTATCTGTCTATCTATCTAATCTACTATCTATCTATCTATCTATCTATCTATCTATCTATCTATCTAATCTACCCATCCATCCATCCATCCATCATCATTCTATGTATCTATCCTTGTCTCTCTACCATCTGTTTATAGATGTAGATAAAATCCTACACCACAGGGTTCTTGCTTCTTCCCATTCCATATTTGCATCTTCCTTCTCTCATAGTGAGATCTCTGGTTTTCCACAATATCAAAATAGTCACTCATTTGCTCAATATTAAATAGACACAAAATGGTTTTAGAATTTCTACATCCATGCACTACCAATAACAAACTTGCAAAGTCAAGTTGAAGATATATTTGTGAATCTATTTGTCTTTAGAACAGATACCCACTGAGGGTATCTCATCAAAGAACTGTGTCCAGGATGGAGTTGTCCTACAGAGGCCCAAGGTAAAGCCACAGGCCTAAGGGTAAGAGGTACGCATCCCCAGAGTCACTCACCAGTTAGAAGGGACATTTTGGTAGGATCCGGGGATGTGGAAAGCAGGCCTCAGGTAAGAGGGAATGGGCATCCTATTTCTCTTGGCCCTGCTCTCTTGGCCTGGCCTTTGAGGCAGACAATGGTCTGGGCTCCTGTGGTCTGGGGAGTGATGGTGCTTCCACATGGAAGCAGGAGGAGCTTCCCTAATGCCTGACAACCCAGCAGACATCAGAATGCAGGAGCACAAGCCCATTACGGTCATGCATGAGTAGCAAACTCATTAATGATGATAGTAGCTGTTGTTCTACAATGAAAGGCAATAATTTATGATGGACTCTTAGATTCTCTGTGTATAAAGGACCGATGCTGTCATACACCATTGTTCAATGTTATGAAAAGTCTATTCACGGGAAGCCGAGAGTGGCTGTCGGGCTCTTACATCCCCAGTGACAGGGAGCCCACCCCCTCCCACTCCTGGTGAGTGGCTGCACAGTTCTTTTACTGACCCAGAACCTTCTGTGCGTCCACCCCACTAGCCCTTGCCTTTCCTCTGGGGTCCTCAGAATAATCCCGAGCTCTCTCCTTGCGTCTGCACGCCCTTTCTCAGGAGGAAAAGAGCTGCAGTGAAGGTACACATCGCCTCCTGCCACGAGTCGGCCTGGTCCTTCAACCTGCTCGAGTTTACCATCGATCTATAGGCCTGTAATCGAGCTCAACACTCCAGGTGGTGGTGAGCGAGTCTGCCTGTGCCCTTGTTCCACATCTCCTCGGCTTTCTTTCTTTCCTTTTTTTTTTTTTTTAAAGAATCTCTTTTCTTAAGATTTTATTTATCTATTTGAGAGAGAGAGAGAGTGAGAGAATGAGTGGGGCGGGGGGAGCAGCAGAGGGAGAAGCAGACTCCTTGCAAGGAGCCCGACATGGGACTCGATCCCAGAACCCCGGGATCATGACCCGAGCTGAAGGCAGACGCTTAACCGACTGAGCCACCCAGGCGCCCCATCTCCTCAGCTTTCTAAACAACTATCTTCCACCGGTGATTTATATGTTCCTTATGGTTGACTAAGACTCCATGAGGTAGTTTTCCTCCAACTGCGGCTACTCTGTCTTCCCCCTTCTGCAGCTGACGTTGTAGCCAGGTTATCTTTTTTTTTTTTTCCTAAAGATTTTATTTATTTATTTGACAGAGAGATAGACAGAAGAGCACAAGCAGAAGGAGTGGCAGAGGGAGAGGGAGAAGCAGGCTCTGCACTGAGCAGGGAACCCGATGCGGGACTCGATCCCAGGACCCTGAGATCATGACCTGAGCCGAAGGCAGACGCTTAACCATCTGAGCCACCCAGGCGCCCACCAGGTTATCTTTTAACTTGTTAATAGCCCCCTGCCCATGCTCCCCATCTTGGTATGCTCTGACCCCCATCCTGAAATCCTAATCCGTACATCTGGTCTTTTAGCACCCCCACCCATCTCATTAAGCTTAAGCAAAGGTGGGAGGCCAGCAAAAAATCAAGGGCCAGAGTTCAGAGAACTCAGTGGTCCGAGGCTGGGCGGAGCCTCCTCTACGCTATCCTCCCACTACGGTGTTGATCCAGAAAGAAGCCACAAAAATCTGATCATTAACATCACCCTCACACAACCCCATGTCTGGGCACACTGTGCATGGATCAGAGTGGCAGGGGTTGGGGTGGTTTTAGGAGTGATGAGGTTCAGGTACTCCTGGGGCTGGGGATGAGGAGTCTGACCAGTCAGTCAGTACCCCTGTACTGAATCTCAAAGTCATCTATAAAAGCCATGGCTTTTCTTCTCTGATCTGTTCTAATAATGCCTGGGACTGGAGTTCAGAGTGGTCTGAGCAGTCACACACATGGGGAGAGATGCACTCGATGATGCAAAGGGTGGGTTGTGGGGGGGATGGAGAGGGAGGACCGTGGGGGTGGGGAAAGGCGCCGCCACCTGAGCGCTTACTTGGAGACGTTGTCACACAGCAAAGAGCCACTAGAGGGCACCCAAGACCTGCACGGAGGGTCTGGCCCAGTGGCCCTGGATCACCCTCTGCTGAGGACACAGAGCTAGTTTTGTGGCTCAGTGGGGCCGCAA